GCTCTACCCCACATGCACTTTGAGGGGAACAGTGGGATACTACAACAGGGTATCAGAGTAGATATTCGACAATGCATGGGACAACTATCGGCCAGATCGAGGTGAAAGAGAAGTGAGCCGAACGGGAGATTCGAGAATCTAATAAGACCAGTAGGGTAAACAGGCCCCAGAGCAACAATTTGGGAACACGGGCCTCCCGACCCTCCCCCCTCCTCCTTTTGGAGTTGTCGCGTCGTCATCTCCTCCCCCCTTGCTTGGGCACAATGCTAAGCCCGCGCGTCCCCTCCCCTAGGGCACGCGAAAGGGCCAGCAGCTGCTCCCCCCGCACTTACCGGCAGGGATTCGCAATCGTAAGGTAGCGAGCCTCTCTTCAAGGGGCCACCTCGGAGCTCACTCCTGGAGCAACGTGGTATGCCCCCTGCCAGCCCTAGTGAGAAGGCAGGGCCGTTGCGCAACCAATCGCAGGGGATTTTGTCAGAAGCGCGCAAGGCACCAGCGTAGGTGGTTTGACGTTGAACCCCCTTTATGCGAATGTCCTGTCCTGTCCTGTCCTGTCTTCTCCTCCTCCTCCTCCTCCTCCTCGATCCTCCTCGATGTTCCTCCTCCTCCTCCTCCCCCTCCTCCGCGCCTTCCTCCTCCGCCTCCTCTTCTCTCTCCTCCTCCACCTCCTCCCTCCTTCTCTTTTTCTTTTCATTATTGTTACTACTATGTGTGATTAGCGTTGTTTCTTATTATTGTGTTCATTTGTCATAATAGCATGTTTTAGAATTGTTCTTCTATTGCTTACCATTCGTACAACTAATAATTATACTCGTATAATGAGCAGTATTCGCATTATGATTCGCATGACGGAAATTACTCGTAGTCTAAATATTAATCTTAATACCATTGTTAGTTTTGTTCTTATTCTTTTGTCATTACTAATATTAGTCGTATAGTTGTCTACGGAATCTTATCACTATTATTACTACAGTATTACCACGATTGCTACTACGTGTTAATATTACTACTTTTAGTCGCCTGGCTACTCGTATCTATTTTCCATTAATTTATTTGTTGTATCCGCATTCTTCTTTTTCATTATGGATATGAGTTGTCTCCGCATGCTGAATGTTGTTGTTGTCTTTTCTTGTGAGTATAGCCAATAGTATTAATCATAACTTTAGTGTTGCTAGCAATCGTATTATCACCGTTGTTTGCTATTATGATTGTTAGTCTTATTATTACCACTACGATGATGACTCTTATTAGTATGATTATTAGTATTGGCATTCGTATTCGTATTAATATAACTCCTCTAATCATTCGCCTTCCCCCTCCTCCTCCTCCTCATCATCCTTCTCCATCTCTTCATCCTCCGCCTCCTCCTCCTCCTCTTCCTCCGCCTCCTCCTCTTCCGCCTCCTCTGCCTCCTCCGCCTCCTCCACCACCTCCGCCTCCTCAACCTCCTCCGCCTCCTCCGCCTCCTCCGCCTCCTCCGCTTCTTCCGCCTTCTTATCCTCCTCCCCCTCTTCTTCATCCTTCTTTTGTTCGCAGCGTTCCGAAGTGTTCCCAGCCGCGCTCGCGGGTCAAAGGAAATAGAAAGGGAGGCGGGTGGGAGGCCAGGCCACTCAACCGATGCAGTTGCACCTACCGGAGACGTAATACCTTGGAGATGGCGGGGTAGCAGGAGTACCTTTTCCTGGAACCTTGCAGACGTAGTAATGTTCCGCACCTTCGCAGCGCTGCGGTTCAGTAGTATATACTATCAGCGGCATCAGCGCTCCAGCCTGGCAGGGTTATCTAGCAATGTCGCAAATGATCGGCACTTCGAAGAAATTAGAGTGAAGTACCAGGTGTATCCATCGCGGACTAGTTGTCCTCCTCGGTAGGCTCAACGCGCGCCCGTTTGGTCTGGCCGTGTAACATACGTGGGGACCTGCGATTATTGCACGGCCGGGCTGGAGGGGTAGGCCAGGGGTGTCGCAGCACTCGTGTGTACGTCCTGTTCCAGCAGGTTCATGAAGTATTTCGAGCCCCCCGTGAGAGCAGGTTGGCAATGTAACGTCTGTTCGTCTGGTAGCTCGTCGCTGCCTTAGTCCATATTGGATATGTGCGCATTGCTCAGGGAGCAGATCAAAGTGCTGCCCGTGCAGCTTGGCGACGACGGCCTGTTCGAAGAGGCGGCTGGTGGGCGCACTGGCGAAAATCCATAACAACGCAGTCGCTCTCGCGGGAGCCCCAGGGAATGTTGTAGGAGAAGCGCGCCGCATATCCCCATGGGCGCGCCTCTCAATCATGTAGTTCCGCGGCGCCTGCCAGTATGAAGCGGTAAAGGTGGCCCCTGGCCATTGCGGGGTCCTCCCGCTCGGTCGTCGATGGTAACCTCACCCGTGCCTTCGGCGTATTTGGCCTTGTAGATATCGATGCGTTTGTCGCGCAAGTACTCGAACGAAGTGGCGTAGCGCGGCCTTGGCGTCGACAATTTGGAACTACGTCTTTCCGTTTTCTCCATGGCCGACCTGTGGTGACGACCTGCATGCACTTGTTCTGGTATGACAGGTCTCGTGACCGTGCCCCTGCTTCTCCCGTAGTTCCTGTTGTCCACGGGCCTCGCCGTTCGGCTCGTGGCAATTATTGGTGAGCGCGTTGTCTGGCGGTTGAAAACGCGCGGGTTGTTGCCGGTTGCTCGAGCCGGCAGCTGCGTTGCCAGATGATGGCGCATGCTGCTTGGAGCTGCTGCCCTGGGGTGGGTCAGCCATTTCTTCGTTGGCGCGCAGGCGGGCGGGCCACCGAACATATCGCCAATAGAACGCACTGCAGAACAGGCGCCCCCGCAGTCGCCCTGCCCCGTCGCGGGGCGCGCGCTCCTGGCTAGGCCCGAATGCGGCGCGCACTGCGCGCGCAGCGCCTGGGATGGGGGAGGGCCGAGGGGGAGGGCACTCAGGCGGAAACGCTTGCTGATCGGGTCAGGGAGCAAAAAGGGGCAATGCGCGGCGTGCATATAACACGCACGGCCTGAAATAGCGTGCGTAGTAGCGGCCTGGGAGCGCCCCGCCGGCACCTGGTGCCGCGCCTGCGCGGGTACGTGTTTCTCCTAATCGTCGCCGGCGGCCTCGCCCGCATCGATCCTGCGGGTCTCAGGGCAAAGAGCATTGCGGGCGGGCGTGCCTGAGTTCAGTAGTAGGTAACGGTGCGTGCTCAAGCAGCGGTTCTACTCCTGGTAATCCGATTCGTTGGTAGCATTGTTCGCGCCATGCCATGTGACTGATGTGCTATGTTGTCCATTCTGACGTAGCCCTACGTAAGGTCCCAAGATATCTAAGTGTGCCATCGAAGTCTTCGTTGGTTCTGGCAGTCCATTCATGCGTGCCGTTGCGATTATGAGCAGAAGCTTGCTCTTGAAGACGGTCCAGCCATTCGAAACCGTCTCTCAATTGAGCTGCTCTGTCCAATTACCTACCAGGTGAAGCATTCTGTCCAGGACGCACAGAACTTGCGATGGTCCATGATGCACCAATCAAAGTGGCATCAAGGTCTCCTGGTCCGTGAAAACAGCCCAGTCAAGCCTGTCGACGCGGTCCAAAATGCAGTCGCCTGTGATGTTGTTGCGCTGCTGCTCATGGTTGGGCATGCACAATGCAGTCATGTAGGGCTTGGTGTATGTGGAATGTGATGTTGTCTTATCCTTCGCACTGGGGGTCCGCCAGACCACCGCGTTGCAATTTACTTTAGGTAATGCTACAGCGTCGGATATTGGTACCAAGTCCTTGGTGTCACTGTTCTGCAGGGTGAACGATGCTCTCCCGCGCGGGGTACTAGCTAGTGCTGTATGCAGCTGTCTGCGTTGCATCTGTGGGCCTCGCGTTTCGCACGCGTCAGATACAAAATCCGATGCGCTTCGCTTTCGCGACTGTCGATGACGAGGTCGGTGCCCAGTATCGGCAAGCGGCCTATGTAGGTGCAGAAAGGCTCATTCCCTGTTGCCCTGGAGTCCTCGCCACGCACAGACGCGAATATTTTTGTTCTGCCAGGGTCGTAGCTCGGCGCTAGCGCACGTTCGGCGAGCCCGTCGTGGATCGCTCGTGCGATCCTGCGGGCCGCAGTTGCGAGCGCGCTATTGCCATCGATCATGGCGTAGACGCCTGTGTCGCCCACGTATGCGCTGTCGTGAGCGGCAGGGGGGTCGTCGCCATTCTGAGCCACGTCGCGGGCTCGGTCGTAGCGGGACATGTCGAACGGTAGTCCTGCGTCGGCCATCCTACTGCGCATG